CCCGCTCTTTCTGCCTGGGTTCCAGAAAATTCAAGAGGCAAATCCCAGCTCTGCCTTTCAATAGCTGTGTGATCTTGGACAAGTTGCTTAATCACTCTGTGCCTTTCTCCCATACATAAAATGGGGAGAACAGTTTCTACCTCACAGAGTTGTTGTGTGAGTTAAATGAATTAACTTATGAAAATGCTTTAGAGGGACGCCTGGGTGGCTCAGTCGTTAAGCGTCTGCCTTCGGCTCAGGTCATGATCCCAGTGTCCCAGGATCGAGCCCCGCATCGGGCTCCCTGCTCAGCGGGAAGCCTGCTTCTCCCCTCTCCCACTGCTTATGTCCCTGCTCTCACTATCTCTCTCCGTCAAATAAATAAATAAAATCTTTAAAAAAAATGCTTTAGAATAGTTCCAGAACACAGTGAAGAGATCCTAAATGTCAACCATAATTATTATCGTCACTTTTGGGCAGAGACCTTTTGGCCTCTGGCCTTGGGAGAAACTGCCCTGTCAAAGCCTAGATTTTAGGGGCTCCTGGGTGGCTCAGTTGGTTGAGCCTCGGGTCCTGATCCCAGGGTCCCAGGATGGAGCTCCATGTTGGGCTGCCGCTCAGCGGGGAGTCTGCTTCTACTTCTCCCTCTGCCCCTCCCCCAGGTTTGTGCATGCTCTCGCTTGCTCTCTCTCAAATAAATAAATAAAATCTTAAAACAAAACCAAACCTAGATTTTAAAGCGCGCAGGGCCGCTGGTATTTAAATTGGTTTCAGACACATGCAGGGTGAATGAATACATGAACAAATGAATGGAGCCCCCACACGGGCCTCGAGAAGGCACTAGAATGGGAGCCTTCTCATTACAGAGGAGGAAACTGTGGTTTTCGGTTGGCTATGTGAATCGCCTGAGGTCACACAATGAGTCCACATTACAGCCAGATCTAAGAATGTCCCTCCCTTCACCTTCTCCCCTCCCTCGTATCTTGCACACTTTCACTTCACATATGTCTTCCTCTCCCTAAGGGCAAAAATGATGGACAATGAAGAGTTGTCCAATTGCCCACTTGGGAACAAGGATGTCCCGGAGCGCTGGCCCCAGGCAGCCCCTTTGTGGGCAGACAATAGTCCTTGCAGGACTGAAGGAGCCCAGGAGAGCTAGCTCTGGCCTGCAGAGTGGCTGGGTGTTCTCGGCCGGGCCTGTGGCCCCTCAGGCCTGCCACAGGCACCGGGCAAGTCCCTGCCTCTCGGCCCGCTGCTTCCCCACCTGTGTGAAGGAAGGATGGATGACATCTGTGGATTTCAAAGTAGCTTCAAAGCAGGAAACCCTTTCTTTGAACCACTTCCTCCCCCCCCCCGCTTTTTTTTTTCAATAAAATCAACACATGAAAATGGAACTGCTGGAATGATCTGGTCCACACAGCCTTCCCTAGCAGAGGTGTGAGAGCCCCCGCTCGGTAGGAAATTCCTGGGCTGTCAGTCCCTAAAAGGCCTTCTGCTCTGCTGTCCTCTGGTGCTGGGACATGTGGGTAGTGGGACACTAAGATTCTTAGAGGTAACCACAGGCTGTGTAAAGGTCCCTGTGGGGCCGGAATCCAGGGTGAGAAGCAGGTGGGGAGCAGGCGGCAAGTGGTCCATGTGGCAGAGGGAAAAGCACACAGCTGGGAAGGCAGAAACCCGGGTTCAAATCCCAATTTGTCCACTTACTGGTCAAGGTGTGAACTTGGGCAAAGTAGTCAACCTCTATAAACCTACAAAATTGATAATGCCTGCCCTGTAGTGTTGTTAACAAATGTTGGTAACATGTATAAAATACCTAGCTCCAAGTCTGGCATGGACTAGGAGCTTAATAATTGGTAATCACTATTATTAGGGACCAGAGGCTTCTACAGAGCCTGAGGCCAGTGCTTTTCTTCTCTGCCCTCATCACACCTACTGCAGAATGAAGCCCAGCAAGGGAGAACAGGGCTAGGAGCAGGTCCTGGGAACCTGGAAGCACTGGGCCAGGTGTCTTCTGGAATTTAAGCTGTGTCAGTTGTGTGATACATTTTCAGCAATGCCTACAACCCCAGGAAGCTCTGACGTATATCTGAGGTTAAAAAAAAAATTTTTTTTTAAAGATTTTACTTATTTATTTGACAGAGAGAGAGAGAGTGACCACAAGCAGGGGTAGTGAGAGAGGGAGAAGCAGGCTTCCCTCTGAGCAGGGAGCCCGATGCGGGGCTCGATCCCAGGACCCCGGGATCATGACCCGAGCCGAAGGCAGACACTTAACGACTGAGCCACCCAGGCGCCCCTATCTGAGGTTAAAAATTAAAAAGAGATTGGCCTCTATGCAGTGATGAGAAAACTGAGGCCCGGAAGAGGCAGGGGCCGACTCCTCACCCCGGTCTTTCTGGAACCACGTAAAGCCCCTGTGTGGATAAGTATCTGTGAGTGCTATGGCCACCGCAGGCACAGAGAACCTCTGGCTGGTGGCCTGGAACCTCAGGGCTGGGCCTGTGTTGAAGGCCCATGCGGCCTGGGTCACCTAGAAAAGTCACTTTCTCTTGGGTACCCTTAGGGGAGCCAGACAGTGTCCTGGGGGCTGTTTTGGGGAGAGCCAAGTGAAATGCATGTGCCTATGAGGGAGACAGGCCTGGACCAGCATTCTGGAAGGTCCCCGGGGGTGTGTGGTGGGGTGGGAATGCAGGGGAGGGGGGCGGGGATGCCTGCCTGAACCAGCTCTTCCTGTCCTCTACCACTGCCCTCCAGCTCTGAGAGCAGCCTGACTGTGCACCTCTGGTCCTCTGAGTGTCACCACCAGCCTGCACCCAGACTCACCCTGCTGGCCCTTCCCTCACGTTCACAGTGAGTCGGTCACCAAGGCTGCTTCCGGCTATAGCATCTCAAATATCCACCTCCTCGCCCTCTGCAGTCCTCGGATGCCTCTGTCCTCTCTCTCCTGGGTAAAGGCAAGAGTCTCCCCTGACCCCACCTCCACTCTCCCCGTCTTAGCCGCCCTCCACCCTGGCACAGCTCGGGCTTTCAGACCAATGTCTTTCAGCGGCACCCAAGGTCCCATGGGTAGAGACCCTCCGGGAGGTTCGGTGACCCCCTCTGCAGAGGAGATTTCTCCCTCCCTGATCTCCGCCACTCTCCACCTGTACCCGCCTTGTGGCTTGAATCACTTCCCACTTCTTACCGGAGCCTATCCACCCCCACCTCAATCAGCTTGAGGATTCATTTCACGATCCAAATGAATACTGCTGAGGACAGAGGCCGTGCCCTCCACAGCAGGGGGTCTGCAGCCTGGCACACAGCTAAGAAATAGATGGGGGGAAGAGAGGGAAAGAGGAAAGGAAGGAAGAGGGGAGGGAGGGAGGATGGATGAACAGACAGAAGAATGGGCATACAGCTGAGTATTAGAAGTTCTGGAAAACTTTCTTAGGGAAGAAGCCAGAAACAACTGATACAAATGTAGCTTTAGAGAATTTGCGGATTTTCTCTTACGGTACCGAGAAAGGAGTTGATTTCTCAAAATGCTCTTTCACATCTGCCATGTTCTTGCCTCATTACCGCCTATCACCCTGGTCTTGAACTACATGACAACTCCTTATGTCACCTCTCCATACTGGAGAGCATATGGGCCACCCTCACTGTACAGATGGGGAAAATGAGGCACAGAGAAGGAAAGAGCCTCGTTCAAGATCACACAGCAAGTGATTAGCAGAGCCAGGGCTGAAAGCCAGACCTGTCACAGCAGGTCAGGATGAAGGCCAGGGAAAGCCACTTACTCTCAACACCAGTACCTCATGAGTCTGGATCTTGAGAAGAGATTCAAGGAGGGACCCAGCCTCACCCAGCCAAGGATGAAAGCCCCAAATTCCCATGGAGCAGGGCTTCTGAACTCTGTTGGACAGCTGTTCATTGAGAGCGTCCTGTGAGGCAGGAACTATGCTGGGATAGACTCAGCCCCTGGCCCCCAGCAGTGAGGAGTCTGTGGAAAACAGGTCCATGGCTGGGGTAGTGTCCCAAGCTGATTGCTGGGATGGCTGCAACAAAGAAGACACAGAGGGGGCCGTCCCTGGGGGCCGGGGGTGGGGTGGGGGAATCAGGGCGGGGAGCCCAGGCCAAGTTGAGCCTAGAAGGATGGAGAGGATTTGCAACCTCAGCAAAGTGGGAGAGGCAGAGAGGTGGTGGTGAGCGCTGGGAGAGGGAACCCAGGGGAAGGGACAAGCGTGCCAGCCTCCTAATAGCTGCGTGCAGGGGGAGGAAAGAGGTGACGATCAACTCCCAGGGGGCCCCACGCCCCACGGAAGAGTACGTACTCTTTCATCTGCCTGCCGACAATGGGATGAAAGGTGTTAGAAAGTGACGGGACAAATCTGCATTTTAGAAAGTTCACCCGGACAGCCACAGTGGTGAGGATAGGCAGCGCCAGGTCAGACATAAAGGGGAAGCGCGACTCTGTAGCCGGGTGGAGCCAGACTGAGCCTGGCACATAGCCTGGCACAAAGGGGGCACTCAGGGGAGGAGGGACAACGACAGAAGAAAAGGATGCTCAGAGCTGTCCTTAGGAAGGTTGGCTGGGGAGAGCTGTTTTGTAGCAAGAGATGCTGTCATAGTTTGGAGGCTTTTTCCAATTGTAACTCTGCTCCAGAAACAAAGCAAAAGCCACGCCTTGGCCGGACGCTGAGCGCTAATCCCATCAGCGCCTGGACACCCTCCCTGACGCAATCTCTGGCTCGCAGACAGGGGGACCCTCCCTCGGTCTCGCCTTCTCTCCCGGTGGCCCGACGGCCACCCCGGCTTCCTGGCTGCCCGGGAAACTGCCGGCGCGGAGCCTCCGGGCGCTTCGCCTCGTACGCCTCTCCAGTCCGCACCCGGGGTCCCGCAGCGCAGCCCGCGCCCTGACCCCCCGTAGCGGCAGCCGCCCCGCTCCCCCGGCCACCAGCCCGCCACGGGGGAGGGTGAAGGCGGGGGTCTCGGAGCCCAAGCTCGCGAGCCTTCCCCGCACCCGCCCGGCCGGCCCGCGGGCTCACCTGACTTGCCCATGGCCCGCTCGGCGCCCTCCCCGGCTCCCGCCGCCGCTGCGCTGCGCTCTCTTGCCGGCCCCGCGCAGCTGGACCCCGGAGAAGGAGGCCGGGCGGCCGCAGCCCCTCCCCCGGCGCGGCCCGGCCCGGCCCCCGCCTTATAAGGCAGCGGCAGCTGCCGGCGGACGCGCCTGGGGCCACCCCGCCGGCTGCCGGGAGGAAGTGCCGCGCGCTCCGCTCTCCGCGCGCCTCCCCATCCGACTCGGGAGAACTCGCCTAGCGAAGGGACCCCCTCGACTGTCCAGGGCTCTCCCGGTGTGGACTGGGAGTCCGGGACCTCCCGGATCTCAGCCCCGAACTGCCCCTCTCGGGACGGAATGGGGGTGCATAGGGAAGCCGCTAAGGCGCTGCGAGGACCGTAGTGCTTACTGTCGCGGCACGAGAGAGGCAGTTCCAGCCCGCATCACCAGGTGTCGGGGCTCTCCCCACTTCGGCCTGACCCCCACAAACACCTCAGGCTCCGAGTGCACCGCCTTCTGCTCCCCAGTGACCCTGGACTCCAGGGGCATCTGTCTTCTTCACAGGACATACCCTCCGGTGCGAATCAGGGTTGGAGTCCGGCTCACCCTCCTAACCTCGCCAACCCTGCGTGTCCCTCCCAGGGAGGCTGCGGCAGCCTTGCTCTGACCTGTGGGCCTGTCCCTCATGGGCTATTAAACCAAGCCAAATCCCCCACCCCTGAAGTCTGGCTCCAGACCTGTCTCTTCAACTCCCTACCTTCATCCCATGCTCCAGTCAAACTAGACTTCTTGACATTCCCCAAACACGCTCAGAGACTTCTTCCCTCTTCGCCTTTGCTGGGCCTGTTTCCTCAGCCTGGGTGCTGGCTCATCTCTGCCCATTCGAGTCCCACCTATGCCTCACCGCCTTTGGGTCCCTTTAACTTCCAGAGGCTCTGACCTTTCTTGACGTTGGGGGCTGTGGTCAGTACACACCTGGCAATGGGGAGACTTGGTCTCAGTCATGGCCCCACACTTGTGTGACAACAGAGCACTTGCAGGAAGACACCCTGGGTCACCTGCGTCACTCCCCTGAGTAACTCCTAAGTAAAGGAAGCTAAATTTAGGTAGACCCTTTCAATAAATGGGCACTGAAGTGAACTGACTTGATCAGAAGGGGAGAATTTGCAATATCATGGGCTTCAAATGTCCAGTAGGGCAATGGTACTTTCTACTTCCTCCCCCTATGTCAGACTTTCAAACTGTGGTAGAGTGTTAGAAAGAGTGGCCTACCCTGAATCAAAGGGAATTTTGGTGCTAGATGAAGATCCAACCCATTGTGTTCAATGCCCTCTCCCATTTTGCCAACAAATCCCCATTGAAATGACCAAATACACCCTGTTCCATATCACCTCTAGGATCTCTAGAAAGCTGTCTCCATTGTAAGGAAAACTTCAAGGCCATGAGTGGAGACAGCTGAGCACAATGGAGCCACTCTGCCTGCTGAGAAGGACCACTGAGTTTCACTCCCATTTCACCCCCATACAGAGATGAGGGTGGGCTTGGAGGGGGTGGGGAGGACAAAATCCAAAGTTTAGTGGCATCTTTGGAGTCTGTGCGGGGTGGGATGCTGTGGGCTCTAGAGGTGGCCTTAGCTTGTGGAAGGGACAGTGTGCTGAGTGGGGTTAGGGCAGTGCCAAAGTTGCCCCTTCCAAGGGCTGTGGGCTGGTTGGAGGGAGCCACTGCCCAGCTGGTCCTAACCGGTGCCCAGGCAGCAGAGATGAGAGAAATGGAAACAAAGGTCAGACACAGGGAGGGTTTGACCCAAGTTACCACTTCTTTTTCATTTTATGTCCTATTTAAGAACTCCTTACTTACTCCAAGATCATGACATATTTCTGTTTTCTTTTAGAAGTCTTGTTTTTTTAAAGAGTTTATTTATTTATAGCAAACTGGGAGGGGGGCAGAGGGAAAGAGAGAGAGAGAGAATCTCAAGCAGACTCCACCCTGAGCCGGAACCAGAAGTGGGGTTCGGTCTCACAACCCCGAGATCATGACCTGGGCCAGAACCAAGAGTCGGATGTTGGACCGACTGCGGCACCCAGGTGCCCCTCTTCTAGAAGTTTTAAAGTTTTAGCTCTCACATTTAGTTTTAGCACTTACATTCATTCTGATTATGGTGTGTAGTATAAAGTCAGGATTATAACTCTCTCTTTCCTTATCTGGCATATGAATGCCCAATTGCTCCAGTATCATTTCTTGAGTTAACTATATGTGGGCTCCCTATTCTGTTCCATTGATCTATATGCATATTTATACACATATTTTTACACTAATACCACCCTGTCTCAATTGCTGTAGCTTTATAATAAATCTTTTTTTTTTTTTTAAGTAGGCTCCATGCCCAGTGTGGAGCCCAATGTGGGGCTTGAACTCACAACTGTGACATTGAGACCTGAGCCAACATCAAGAATTGGACGCTTAAATGACTGAGTCCCTATAATAAATCTTGATACCAAGTAATGTAAATCCTCTTATTCTCTTTTCGAAGTTGTTCTGTTCATTTTACTTTATTTTATTTTTTGGTTTTGTTCAAGTCCTCTGCATTTCCATATAAATTTTAGAATCGGCTCATCAATTACTGTAAAACAAACAACCTGCTGGGGTTTTGATTGGGATTGTCATGAATACATAGATAAACTTGGGGGGAACTGACCTCTTAATGATATCGAGTTGCTGGTCCATCACCATGGTGTATCTTTGTTTATTTATATCTTCTTTAATCTCTCTGTGTTTTGTGGGGTGTTTGCTCTGTATTTAGTCTTTTCTTCTTATAATGTCTTTCAGATTTGGGGATCAACACTGGCCTTATAAAAGAAGTTGGAAAGGGTTCTCTATACTATTTTCTGGAAGAGTTTGTATAGAATTAGTATTATTTCTTTCTTAAATATTTGCTACAAATCATCGGTGAAGCCATCTAGTCAGGGAGGTGTTTTTATTCTTTTTTGGGTGAGGGAAGGTTTTCAATTACAAATTCTGCTTTATTGATAGATATGGAATTCTTCAGATTGTCCTTTTCTTCTTGAGTGAGCTTTGGTAACTTGAATCTTTTAAGAAATTTGTGTATTTCATTCACCTAAATGGTGGAATTTATATGCATGAGGTTGCTAATATTGTTATCCTTTAAAAGAATGATGTCTAACGGTGACCCTTTATCATTTCTGATACTGTGCCTTCTAAAGGTTTATCAACATAGTTGATCCTTATTATTTGTGGATTCTGTGTTTATGAATTCACCTACTTGCTAAGATTTATTTGTAACCCTCAAATCAATACTTGCAATGCTTTCAGTCATTGGAAAACATGTGCAGACATTGAAAAATTTGAGTTGCCCAACACACAAGTTCCCAGCTGAGGTTGAACAAGGAGACGCCATGAGATAGCTCTCACTCGTAAACAAATGTCCTTCCCAGAGTCTATGTAGTCCCAGGTTTGGGGCATTTTTGTGTTTTCTGTTGGTGATTCTGCTGTTTAAAATGGTCCCCAAGTGAAGTGCTGAAGTGTTGTTTAGTGCCCCTAAATGCAAGAGGGCTGTGTTGTGCCTTATGGAGAAAAATTATGTGTTAGATAAACTTTGTTCAGGCATGACTTCAAATGCTGTTGGCCATGAGTTCCATGTTCACGAATCAACAATATAAATTAAATAAGGTATCTTTAAACAAAGACACACATGAAGTAAAGCTGTTACTGATCCGCCGACAAAAATGTTGCGGCCAGAGGCTCACAGGAACCTAACCCGGTATTTTCCCTAGCAGCAATGGGTCAGTATTCTCCAATGCCGTGTCCCCTGCAATTTTATAGAACATAACTGCTGCAAATCATGAGAATCAATTGTACTATTGATCTCAAAAAAAAACCCAGCTTTTTGTTTCATTGATTTTCTCTATTATTTTCCCATTTACTATTTCATTGATTTTTATATTTATTACTTTTTTTCTGTTTACATGGGGTTTAACTTACTCTTATTTTTCCAGTTTCTTAAAGGGGAAATCAGGTCAATGATTGTAAGACATTCTTCCTTTCTAATATAAGCATTAAGCGCTATAAATTTCCCTCTAAGACTGTTTTTAGCTGCATGTCACTAAATTTGATATGTTGTGCTTTTGTTTTTATTCAGTTCAAAATCATTTCTAATATCCCTTGTGATTTATTCTCTCATGACTTATAGGTTATTTTAAAATGTTATTTACTTTCCAAATATTTGGGAAATTCCAGATTATTTTTCTGTTATTGATTCCCACTTTAATTCTGTGTGGACAGAGAATATACTTTGTATTACTTCAATCTTTTCTTACATTTACTGAGAATTATTTTATGGCCCAGAATGTGGCTTTATCTTGGTAAACATTCTGTGTACACTTGAAAAGACTGTGTTCTGTTGTTACTGGGTAGAATGTTCCATAAATTTCAATTAGATGAAGTTGACTGATAATGTTGTTCAAGTCTTTTTTTTTTTTTTTAAGATTTTATTTATTTATTTGAGAGAGAGAGAATGAGAGACAGCACGAGAGGGAAGAGGGTCAGAGGGAGAAGCAGACTCCCTGCTGAGCAGGGAGCCCGATGCGGGACTAGATCCCCGGGACTCCAGGATCATGACCTGAGCCAAAGGCAGTCGCTCAACCAACTGAGCCACCCAAGCGCCCTGTTCAAGTCTTTTATATCCTTATTGATTTTCTGTCTACTTATTCTATCAAATATTGAGAGAGGGATGCTGAAATCTTCAGATATAATTGTGGATTCGTCTATTTCTCCTGATATTTGAATAAGTTCTGCTTCATGTACTTTGTGTTTTTTTCTAATTTTTAAATTTAAATTCAATTTAGTTAACATATACTGTATTATTAATTTCAGGGGTAGAATTTAGTGATTTATCAGTTGCATGTAACACCTAGTGCTCATTACATCAAGTGCCCTCCTTAATGCTCATCACCTAATTACCCCATTCCCCCCACCCGTCTCCCCTCCAGCAACCCTGTTTGTTTCCTAGAGTTAAGAGTCTCTTATGGTT